TTCCATCCATATCCCTGACCGCTCTTTCATCATAGATTTAACTGTCCAGGACCACAGTGGCCTTTGCTAGACCACTGGGCTGTCCCTCGTAAAAGTCCCTCGCATTTCTGAGTATCTTCTTTTCATGTACAGTGCTTCTACATTCTGGCTCTTCTCTCTGTTCCTTGCCCTTTGTCTGTGATGTGTAGGAGAGTTTTAACCAAGAGTCATCGCTGGTAAATAAGTTCAGCGAGGTTTAAGCCGGGGTCAAGGCCTCGAGCTGGCGGGATCGAGCAAAGAGAGGGAGAGGAATTGATTGGGCTTTTATATGTGGAAATTGAGAAAATAGAGGGTGTCTTTGGCGTGACCTGCCCTTGCCCACTGTACTATCTATAGCTACAGAGAAACAAAATAACACCAGGTTTTATATTTGTTTTTCTTTTTCCCCCAACTCTTCATTTTAGTTTTAATAAAACATAATGAAATGGAAGGACATGGAGAAAGAGTGTGAAAGTGAAGAAAATGGACAGGGCGGGAGGGGAGCCCTGTTGGAAGTTAGATCAGTTGATGGTAGATCAGTTATACCAGCTTAAACCAGTTACGAGCATGATAGGAGAACTTAACCAGTCTTGAAAACCCATTAGACCAGGCTTTGGACAGGTTAGGAGTCCAGTAAGACCAGTTCAAAAGACCAGGAAAAAAGTTTGTTTACGCTGTTTTAGTAGTTTCATTTATTTATTATTATTTTAAACAGACAGATGATCTAAAAAAATAGCTGAGGAGTATATATTGCAGAAAACTTAAGTCCTTAGTAGTTACTTGACTGGAGTTCCAGCAGATATTCACTGTGTGTAAGGTCGAAACTGTTTATAACTGCTGTGCAGACTAGTCGATAACTTTATCAGACAGTAAACACTGTGAGATCTGTTAGGAAGCCTCTGGGATTTACGTACAACCCGTTATAATGGAGTCTGCTTATTCTACCAGACACAGATTGTTCGTCTCTCTCAGTCTGTTTTAGTTATTGTAGAGTTCTGTAGAGCAAAACTGATGCTGTGTTTGTCTCACTGTGAGTCAATGGTCATGGTCTCCAGAGTGTTTCTCCATTACTCATGCACAGAGGTATCACACGTACCCCTGGTGGTCTTGCTATAAATGAGATTTTTATAATAATATCTCAGAAAATGGATGTCTCCCAGGAGATGAACGTGTCCTCACTGACACAAACAGGCCATTATTCCTCAGCCATTTATTTAGCGACCAAATAATGTGTTTTGATATCTTTTTAGTATTGCTTTTTTTTTTGTGTGTGTCTAACGTACCCCCACAGCACCATCACCGGACCATCATTTTGCATTATCATTAATATTGTTCAAATGAAATTATTCCAGTGACTCACTTTTAAGCTAAAAACAATCAATAATGAGGGTGAAAAACAGTCACATAAAGAAGCTTCCTCAACTAATGCAACTTATCAAAACACAGAATCTAAATCAGAAAAGGCATTTAGTTGGACAGTCGTTAGATAGAATTATAAATTCTCTATGCATACTCAAATAAAAGTTGATTCATATAAAATCCAATTTGGAACGCACCAATATACTGTATTTGAAGCCTTGAGCTTCCATCCGTACAAGTTAACGCACATCTACAGTATATGTGCGAATGGGCCCATTGTAAAACCGACGTCTTTTCCCCATTGATTCTAGGGCTGTTGTCATGGCAACATGGCTGTGGCACCACATGGATGGAAAATGAGCGTGAAACTCAAAACGCCTAGGCTGACATCATGGCAGAAATGTGCAGCCACAAGAAGACTCAACTCACACTTCCACATAACGCAGGTTGCGAAAGACATGGGTACCTAATGCATATATAATGAGCTACATGTGCTGAAGGACTAGCAGTTTTACTTAATGCGTAATTGCCACAATTTCAGCCATTCAGAGCTAGAGATGCTTCTATAATCAAATTCTGCCTGTTAGCCGTATAAGCTGATGAATATATTCTTATAGCCAATAACTGGTGGTGGTCAAATTCTATACTGTTTTCTCTAAAAAAATAAAACTCTGAAATCTAGAATCAATCATTTTAAATGCTATACGAGTGAAATTATGTATCACAACATCATATACAATGTTGAAAATGGATATTCATTTAGAGATTTGCTAAAGATTACATTTAAGTAAACTTAATATGATGGCAAATGTATACATCCTGATATATATATATATATATATATATATATATATATATTCTAAATATTGACCAAAAATGTAATGAATTTAAATGTCTCTAAAATCTTGCCAATAACCAATATGTTACTGATACATGGTGCTATCCAATATCATGTTCTATTTAATGTTAAATGCACAGGTCCAAAAAATGAGGTGTAGTATTTTGGACCAGTGAGATTCTAGCTAGCTTAAAATAGAAAACAGGAGATCGACAAAACAGCTAGTTAGGACAAAAACAATTTACATTAAAGCTTTTTTCACTTCCGTATGGTGTTTCTGGTTAGGACAGAGTATAAATGTCTGGATGGAGCATCTGTGTAGATTTTGGCTGTTTGTTTGGTGTGCTGCAAATAAAAGAGTGCTTAATGTGAATTTCAACAGAGGCGCAGGTGTTCGAACACTTGACGTGAAGTCATGCGGAATGTGAAATGAATAAATGATTGATAAACTACACATATGCATGAAAATCTGTGGTCTGTCTCACTTGAGAATCACACACTGTGGAAAAGCTTTCTCGTTCTTTGTTTTATATTCTCGGTGATGGAAAATATGAAATGAAAAGTGATGGAATGGACTTGGGGGTGCACACACACCTTCAAAAGCATTAGTAGATGTTTCACATGCATGCATTATTGAGACATGAATATGCATCGCTCCGACACTCAGGACCTGTCACGCTCACAGTCTTTATTTAGCATGGTTGTGTGCTGCAGTATAGTGTGTTTCTCTGGGGCTCAGAGTCACAGACCGTTCAGACACTGACCCTAGATCCAGGTGGTCTACTCTATTATTACATCTATAATTGATAATGCTCAACAGCCACTAGGTTTAAACGCTTGATTTATCTGTGCATAGCACACAGTCCACAGCCATTCATACATATAAGTCACTATACTAGCATTGACCTCTTATGTGGTATGTTCATTTACACTGTTAAAAAAATAAATGTTTTTCCAGTAAAAATGTATCAATAATAATTTGTATTAAGCGTCTGCATCTTTCTTTTCAGTTTCTTTCTTTGTTTTTTTCTGAACATTAATTTATACAGTGTAAGATAATAGGAATAACACCAGCCTCTTTAATTAGTCTCTAGACACGCGACTGAAGAGTGCGCCTCCAGGAAGTGCTGTCCTTCGCAGGCCAATCCCACTGAGATCCGCAGGCTTTCACGGAGTCTGTATGACTGTGTCCTCAAGTTGTTGGTTTTGACCTGATTTACTCAGAATCAACAAAGAGCCGGTCCGCCACAGTGCTGCGGTGAATCTCAAACAGGCGCAGAGGTGACAAGCACTGTGTAGGAGACACCAGTGGGCAGGTGTGCATGTCGGATTGACAGCGGAGTTCAAATGCAACCCTCCACACGCCTCAAGCTCACGTGTGCACGCTCATCCACATGTTCCACATGTGTGACTGTGTAGGTAGCCGCTGGTCACTGATAAAAACGGGGGCGGGGTGGGGGGGGTAAGCCCATTGCATACATCAGGTGGCTGTCAGTCAGTTTTTGACACTCTTGCCATAGTGGGCCTTGCCTGAGGGAATTATGGAAGTTTGTGTTTTGATGGCAGTTGTGAGACAAGAAAGCAATAGAACGAGACAGTCTCAGAGGAGTTAACACAGATTCTTACCTGTCAATATGAGAAAGGAGAGAAAAGTTGTATGTGTGTGTGTGTGTTTGTGTGTTCTTGTATGAAGTGAAGTCAGTGATCAGGAACAGCTAGACAGATCCTGGAGCGGTCATGCCACCCTGTCTGGACCTGTTCTGGTAGTCTGTGATAAGAAAAAGAGTGTGTTTTTTTAAAGATCACTCATCAACGGTCAGGTCTTCTCAGCAGCGTGCTTGTTTTGAGGCTGTTCTTGCATTGATTTGGAATTTGAAAGTAACTGTAATGCTGTACATATCCTTAGACAGAAGCTTTTAAGTCATAGTTCAGCCAAAAATGGAAATTCGATCATTTACTGAAAATCATATAGAATCTACCCAACTTTACGAATTTGGCTTCTGCGAACCACCAGAAATGTGAAAGGGTCTATGAAGAAGGACTGCCACTTTCAGGTTTCAAAAATAACACAGAAGCATTATAAAAATATTAGAAATGTAGTCCATAATACTCACGCTGTGTGTTCCAAGTCGTCTGGAATAATACAAAAGCTTTGTGCCAGAAACTGACACAAAAATGTATTTCATTGTTCACTGAACTCGAGAACCAAAATCAGTCTGATTTGTGAATGAATCATTCAAACTGGTTTCATGAACAGGAAACGATTCATTTGATTAAATTTACAAATTGGACATTGTTTCTTCTTTAATGAACTCCCATGAATCTGACTGGGGAAACGTCAATACTTTTAGTGAATAATGGTGGCTTCAAAAGACTTGGAATATACTGCTCAAGTGGTATTCCACATTTGTGAGGCCTTTGTGTCCTTTTTTTGACATTTTGAAAGCTTACATTTTGTGTTCCACATAAGAAAGGAAGTCATGCAGGTTTAGAATGTTAAATTATGTCAGTTTTCATTTTGAATGAACTATAAAGATCCAGGTCTTTCTGGCAGAGTGCTTGTGTTGAGACAAGTATTATAATGCTGTACGTCTCTTCAGACAGGAGCTCTAAAGGTCATGTGTTAACTAAAATAGTTTTTATGCTGAGCACTGGTTTGCATGAGTTTTTTACAAGGGTCTTTTGTTCCGCCATCATATGACTGTAGTCTTCCAGAGCTCTGCAGTTGTCACATGATTGTGGCTTTCTGATTTGTACTCTGATGTCTTTGTCTCTGTCTCCGTAGGTTGCCGAGGGAAGCTGTGTGGATTTGGAGCGTTGTGTGAAAGAGACCCGGCTGACCCCTCTAAAGGAGAATGTGTGTGTAAGAAGATTGTATGTACGTCTGTGGTGGCGCCGGTGTGCGGATCCGACTCCTCCACCTATTCCAATGAGTGTGAGCTGGAGAAGGCCCAGTGCAATACACAGAGACGCATCAAAGTGATGCGCAAAGGCCCCTGTGGTAAGTCCTGTCACATACTGTACACAAATCAGTGCATCTATTATTATTTTCAGTAAATTTAAACTTCCCTGAATGTAAAGGCAGCTGTACATTTTAGTGTATAAAGACCCGTATATACTGTAAGCATAATATAAATTGTAAGCATGACATTATAAAGTAAAAATTCAATAATTAGTTAAAGGTGCTATATGTATTTTTTAGCGGCCTCTATCGGTGATGTTTCAGATTGCAACCAATTTTTACAAGAGCGCTCGTGCTCTTGCGCGTGCTCGAACACAAGAGCGAGCACTCATGGTACGGCCACACTGAGACTTTCAACACACCGGAGAAAGCATCACACAACATGCTGGAAACTCATGTAAACTCCCACTGCAACGTTACAATAATAGGCTACTTTTATCAGCTTGACGTTGAACTAATGCTCCATGCTCGTACCATGATAACGTTACATTTGTGGTGTTATCTAGCATAATGAATTTCACTAACTATTCGTGTATCTTTCACAATCAGCAATGTCAAAATAGGTGAATGTATAATATGATAACGAAAACGGTTAGTGAACTAGACTGAACAATTTCAGTGTAACAGTAAGATCGTAGGAAGTAACATTACTGTACTGAACGTGTCTGGAAATGTGTATTATAAACAATATGATAGTAGTGGGATGAGTGACATTAGACAGTAGATCTAGTACATAAAATAAAAGTAACATCCTAAAGCACCTACTTTTTGTTATCCTGGAACAGTCTTTTGTATTCATTTCATGTCTCATATATGTTGTAGTTTACCTTGCTATTTCATTACAGTTTACCATTATTTCAGCATATCTGAAAACTTGTAATTTATCACAATAAAAATAGCGGAGGTCTCTCCATAATTCAAACGCTCTGCCGATGTTGATCCGTGTTTTCGTCCTAAGTCGATCCGATTCACGTTTGGCCCTGACGAGCTTCAGCAGATACATTTTTGTTTTGTTTTTATATTTATGTGGAGTTTGTGTTGGAGTCTGTGTTGTGCTGGAGGCAGGTCGTTTTTGGGTGTTATAAGACTCACTCCATGTCGTTCGCTGCAGTGCCGTCGCATAGACTGTATATAAAAGGAGAGAGGCTCGGGAGCGCGCATGCACGTCACATCCGATGGATTTTGCAGAAAATCCGACCCGGAGACTTCACATAGAAATAGGAATACTGGCCTTCAGAGGAAATAGCAAAACCCGACAAGTGGATTGTAATGTGTGATTACAACCCCTTCACACACAGGCAATAAAAAAATGATTCATTTTAGAAGAAAAGTTACATATAGCACCTTTAAATATTATTGAATTAAAGTTTTTTTTTTTTTTTTGCTATTGTATTAAATCAATCAAATTAAGTAAAATAATGATCTGCAAAAAAGTTACATTAGTATGTTTCTGGAAGAAAGACATTTTGAAATCAATTGAAAAAATACTTAAAATATAAATATTCACTAAAAAACAAACAAATTTTACCTATTTATTTGTTTATTTATTTATTATTTGGCTCTTTTTAAGTTTTCATGGTTAGTTTTAGGTTAAGTTTTAAGTCGAGTTTGAGGTATCCAAACTTAAATTCAAGCATTTTTGATACAGACCATACAACAGTTATCCCCCTTATTATTATTTATGAATCTCAGCATGGATCATCTGTGGATAATGTGAATTTTGTGTTTTCTACACTGTTCATCATGTATATTTCAATCAATTTCATTCCTTGAATGATAACTAATATATGAAATGTGGCCCATAATTAAGCAGACTCTGTGGCAGTGGGGCTGGCCAGCGTGAGCCGTAATTACGTGATTCGGTAGAACATGCTGTACAAACCCTTCAAAGAGCTCTAATTAGCCACCTCACATGCTGTCTAGCTGGAAATATTCAGTCCTGAGGAATGAGAGCTCCAGCCTACCAGTGAACTCCAGCCTCCATTCAGAAACGCATTAAAGATCACACTGTCCCGTTGTGTTAATGCAGTTGAAGTTCGGCTCCATGCTAATCGCTGCTGGCTCCGCAGCAAGGCTTTAATGGGCAGTAGCCTCCCTGCTATTGCGCTAATGAAATTGACAGTGTGGCTATCAGGGGTCAAATCTCTCTCGCTCGAATGAGATCAGCTGCCATAGATAACGGGCAGTTCAGTGTTTCTCCTGGGCTGAAGGGTTGAGGTGGGAACTGAGTCAGGCTAGCTGCCGTTCTTTGGTTCTACTCCGGTGGTGCAGCATCCAAAAATATGACCATTTAAAATAACTTTTTTTCTCTATTTTAATATTATAAAAAATTTAATATATTGCTGTGATGGCAAAGCCCAATGTTCAGGTTCATAACTCCAGTCTTCAGTGTCACATGATCCTTCAGAAATCCCTCTAATATGCTGATTTGCTGCTCAGGAAACATTTATTATTATTATGTTGAAAACAATTGTGCTGCTTAAAGTTTTGGGGGAAACGTGATTCTTTGATGAATAGAAAGTTGAAAAGTACACCATTTATTTTTTTCGTAACATTAGAAATATTTACTGTCACATTTGATCAATGTAATCCATCCTTGTTGAAAAAAGTATTAATTTTCTTAAAAAAGAAAAATCTTACTGACCCCAAATATCTAAATGGTACTATATTAAATATTTATTTGTATATTTTTATATTTATTTTGTTTTTATATTTGTATTGTTTTATTTTATATTATTTCAACATGTATATGTTTAGATAAGTAAATATTTATGTATAAAATAAAAATATCAAAATGCAGTTCAATGGCCATAAGGAACTATTTATAACTGTTAAGTTTTCTCAATTCACACTGCATTGGCAGGAGTGCCAAAGGGTTCATTTGGACCCCAGGCACAGGATAAGGGTGAGACAGAAAAGAAATACAGAGAGGTGCCCTGTTTTTTAAAGATGAGCAGGGGAGCGTGGGTGCTCCAATAATATTGAACACCGGTGGGTAAACAGAATCTCCAGCTGTTTGTGTGAGTGAGTGAGTGAGTCAGTCATTCAGAGAGTCAGTTGAGTGAGTTAAGGAAAGAAGTGGAGTGTGTGTGTGTGTGTGTGGCTGGCCTTATGCTGGAACTCGTCTGGATTGGCAGCGGCGCAGCAGAGTATTGGACCAGGGCGATTGATCAATGGAAGGATTGATCATATGTGTGCAGAGCACGTCTGGAATTACTGTGATTGCCAGGAGCGCTCTCTTTTCTCACTCTGTCTTTTCTTTTTTTTCTTTTTTTTACACATTAACGTCTCTTCACCTCCAGCCTGACTCGTGTTGAAAACCACTCTTTAGAGTACCCACAGCACGGACTCGGAGGAGGTCAAATCTGCGCATCAAATATTCACTCCCTAAACCAGGCCTACAACTTAAACTAGCCGCTGAGGCTGAAACTGTCAGCTTCTGTTGTCTAAATGAGGTTATTCTGCTGTACAGAAGAGCGGGGGTGGAAAAGCCTTAACCTCAGGGTATCATGGGAAGCTGCTTAATGGAGGAATCAATATGTTTGTCCCGTTATTGACGGATGAAACTGTGTTCCTTCACTTGGGAAGTATGGCTAATTTCTCTCAGATCCTTTACCTGCTATAACTCCAGGTGTTGATACTGTTGGACACATATGGTTTGCTTCTCGCACTCTCCATCAGCTGGTTCTCACATCGTAATGCGCTACATGCGTCTTTTACTGTCCTGTATTAATGTCAAAGCTGCCGTTCATCCAAGCAGGTAACCGTTGCTGTAGCCATGAGAGACTGTTGATTTATGATCTTTCTTGCAGACACATCTCAGTCAATATTAAAGCCACTTTCTGAGTTTACCCCGAGGCTAAGTAGCATAGGGATACACTGTTTGAATGCATCATAATAGTGATTCATCTCAGAAGAAAAGGATAGATTGTTTTCAAAGAAATGGTTTATTAATAATGCTTGGATGTAGATAAAGGTGAGCTTTAATGAAAGCTTTGATGTAAGGTGATGTGTGCGATTTCTTTGGCACTAGTGGCACCAAATGGAATTAAAATTATTATATTTAGTATAGTATATTTATTTTCTGAAAACATTATTTATTTAAAATCAATGCTATAAGGTGTGAAGTGTTGCTGGGGCGTTGCTTTTCGGTTTCTCTGGTATTCTGGGTGGTTGTTAGGTGGTGTCTTTTGGCCCAAGTAAATATAAACGGAGCCTGCATAATATTCAGGTCAATACGCTGATTTCACGCAGCCGCCATTTTGAAATCGAAAGCGAGGCTCCGGTGGGAAGAACCTTTGATGTATAGATAGACAACAATGCCTTGGACTACCAACTTGAAGCTGCTGCCGCGATTTACACTATTAGATGTTAATATCCAATATAGGATATGTATATAGTTCGTATATAGAACTTTTAAGTACAGTCATGCCTTGTCATCCTACGACTGAGTTGTTTTGTCTGATTTGTTAGATAAAGCACTGTTTTTAACAAAATGACACTTGTTATTGGTTAAGGTGTGCGTGAATGCACTTTTGCTTCCCATATTAAAGACATGGTGTGAAAACCAACATCCTGTTTGGCTGATTGTTCCCCATAATGGCTTGTTATTCAGGCACAGGCAGGGTCCTTGTGACACCTCCACAGCCACTGAGCTCGGCAGTCTCCGCCGATGGCACGTATCCAGCCCTGCCTCGTGCAAATGAGTTTTTCGCTCACCCTGTTCCACCCCTGCGTCGGCTCCCGTGCTCGTGCGTGGAGACGCTCGCCACAACACATTCACCTGTCTCCGTGACAGGAGACTCAATTCACACTCATCAGCGCCTTCTCGGCTTCCCTACTCCATCTGCAGAAAAAAAAAAACACGGTTCCTCGCTCTCAGACTAAATTTAGCTTGGGTTACGTCTACACAGTCTGGTCCTATCCACCGGCACACAATTATAGCAAGATTGACTTTCTCCTTCAATAATGGAGTCCTCCATGAATTTAGAAGCAGATACTCTAGCAACATCCATCATAGTGATGATTTTTTTTTTTTT